TTTTAGTTATTTGATATTTTTATGTTGGGATATTTTGAGTTAGGAGCGAAGGAATGAGTTTTTTCAGTCCAAATCATAAAATATGATTATTTTTAAAGTGAAAAATTATTTAGGCGCGTTTTGAGAGTGAATTAGATCACAGGCGGATTTACAGGGTGTAGTTTCGGGCTGAAGCTCCCTCCCTCCCCCCTCCCAAAATGGTAAAATATAACCATGTTTTATAGAAAAAAATATTAAAAACTATCTCTAAAAGTATTCTTGTTCGTATAATTACATTTAATAAGACTTCAAGAATCACTTAAACACCTTTTCATACAGGTAGTTCATTTCTTTCTCATTTTTTTTCTAATTAATTATCGTTATGTATATGAAAAAAAAATCATTCGGGCTGAAGCCGCCCCCCTCCCAAAATTAAATTCTGGATCCGCTAGTGAATTAGATTGATCCTTCAGATTTTAATGCTCAGATAAAGTTGACATTAGTCGACTGATTGAAATGTTTTTTTCATATGAATTAAAATATCTCAGAAAATAAAAATCGGGCCTACATAATATAAGCGAGGAAAATGTTTAGCATTTCTTCCTCTTTGTAATGAGCTATTATTTATAATTATAGACCGGATTTCCATGTTATTGCACATTTTATTTGCTTGCGTGTAAAAACCACAGACACGGATATCTATCCGTTTTAGGATCTGTACAATAACATATTAAAATTTTATATTGCACGTTTTGTTGTTTTTGGCTTTAATTGCACGATTTTGATTTTTGTTACATTAAATTGTACATTTTTCTGCTTGATTAAATTATTTATATATTATATAAATATATATGTGTGTGTGTAAATATTTTACTTTTTTATTTAATAATGTTCTTCATATTAAATTTATCATTTAAGAAAAAAAAATATGAGGAAGGTAAATGATTCTATTACTAATAAGTTTAATTTAAGGTTTGTTATAATTCCGTCATATTAATATTATAAATTTAAAAAAACAGATGATTTTTGCACGATTTCAGGTGTAAATTAGACAATTTTACATATTTTGAGTATTTGCTGCACGGTTTTAGTTTTTTGCTGCAAGTTTTTCGTATTTTAACTGCACAAGATCCGGTCTCTTTTTATAATAAATAATAACAATAATAAAAGGCTTATCGAACCCGAAGGTTCGATGCCAACACCACCGATCGCTTATAATAGGACTAACCTAGTCCCTTCAGATCGGCTTTAATGCAATCTTCCCACCTTCGCTTTGGTCTACCCCTCGGACGTTTCGCATTCGGTTCAGCAAATATCAACCTTTTAGGAATTCTTTCGTTACCAAGTCCAACTATTTTACAAGCCCATTTGATTCTCCGCGATGTTATCACCTCAATTATATTAACTGAATACAGTTCACTCAACTCGGCGTTGTACAACCGTCTGAACTCTCCGGTTAACTCATCTTTCTTCGGTCCGAATATTCTATGGAATACTTTATTTTCAAATATCTTAAGACGTTGCTCATCCCTTGATGTAAGCGGCCATGTTTTGCATCCATAAAGAACTGTAGCTAGGATAATGGTTTTATAGATTCTAGTCTTTAAATTCCGGGACAAGATTCGCGAACTACGTAGTTTTGTCACAGAAAAATAACAAGCATTTTCCGCCTTCATTCTAACCTTAATCTCTTCTTCAATTTCATTTTTCCTGGTTATCGTAGACCCTAGATACTTTTCTACCTTATTAATTTCTCTACCTATTCAAACATATTACCTTCTATATCTATATCACCAGTAATATCGCCATTTTTGCAGCTAACCACACATTTTGTCTTATCCGTGTTTATTTCGAGCCCTAGTTCTTTGCCGGCTTTCATTAATTCTATCGTATTTAATTTTAAAGTTTCAACGTCTTCGCTTAACAGTACCAGATCATCACCATAGCCAAGCACGGATGTTGTCCCGCCCAGATCCAACCGTTTTTCGGTACGCATTACCTCCTTAATGGCATGTTCTGATGGCAAATTGAACAGGACAGGCGAAAGGGAATCCCCCTGTTTTAAACCCGAACGAACCTCAATTTTTTTTGGATAAATGAGCTATTATTTATAATTTATATTTGATATTATTAATCTCGCATTGTTGCTGTTTTCATTTCTATCGTCATCAAATCGTGGTCAAAACCACACACCTTAGTTTTTTATTTAGGAAAATATTTATACCGTAGAAACTAAATAGAATTTCTATGAAAAATATAATTTTATTTATTTATTAGTTATACATATTCCTGGCTCACAATAAATTTGCCATCTATCTCGGTATTCAGCAAATACGATATCAACGGCAAGACATGATAGCATAAGAAAAAAATAATAGTAATAACAAAACAAAAAGACAAAAAGATAAAAAAAAAAAAAAAAAGAACAGTAGTAAAATAACACATACATATTAAAAAAATAACTAAAAAAAAATAAAAAAATAAAAGATAATGCAGCAAGTAGCTCAATGCAATAAGTCTCTTGGCCAGCGCCTCAGCAGTCTTCTGGGCGGATTATATGGATTTGTGGCAGTAGATAGAGCTTGAGAAAGTGGATTGGAATTTAGAGTCAGTCTGTCATGAAAATTATTAAAGCGGTCAGTGGCAGTTGCCGTGATGAAAGGAATGTTAAGGTCAGTGTGTAACGTGAGGTTTAAAACATAAAAGGGTGCGTCTACAATTTTCCGAAGGACTTTTGACTGAATGATTTTTATATTTGATTTCTTTGCTGTTCCCCGTAGTTCGATCCCATATGTCCAAAGTGAAGCTTAATGAGGGCTTTGTAAATAGTTAATTTATTAGTCACAGATAATTTAGAACGTCTGTCAAGTAGCCTAGAAAAATATAAGGAATTATTTTTTTTATTTCTTAAGAATCATAATAGCAGTTTCTTTATCTCAAAAGAACATTTCGAAAGTCTTAATCCGGTTTGATACAATCGATAATGAATTGGTATCGCTTTCGATAGATAAATAGTATGATGAGCTGACAGATGACAATTAAAGATTATATTGGGGCATATCTTACTCAGTCTTGATGACCACATTAACGCCTACCTGTGGTCATTATCTAGTTTTAATCATCAATATGATAACAAGATTAAAAAAAAAAAAAAACATGAGCAAGAGAGCTCTACTTTAATGTTTATCTGAGGAAATTCAATGCAATTTCAAAATAAATTGAACAGCTTAATTTTACTTTCACTTACCTATATATATAATAGATTAGTAAGTACTGCAATCGTGAACATTTTCGAATCTCAGTTTTCAACGTTAATACATGTTTTTAGGTCTACAGAGTCCAATTTTAAGTCGCGCAAAATGGTCTGTGTGTGTTTGTGACTGTGTGTATATGACGAGTCTAGCTCAAAAACTCGTATGAAATGAAATTGCATATTATCAAAATCCACCGAATCAAGGCAATGGTATTGTTTCAAATACTATGTCATTGTTCTTGTGTGAAAGAAGAATTGAAATATAAAAATATTATGTGGATGTGTTTATAATCTTAAATACATTAACATTTTATCTAGATCTGATATATGTAAATAATTAGTTATCTGTAATTGGTTTATTCCGAAAGTCCATCATGTAACATTGTAGAAAATTAAAGTAGTGAATATTCAGAAGAATTATTATTCAGAAGAATACATTAATTAAAATTAGTATGACAACTTTTCAATTATCGATAGTAGGCAATGGAAATTTCGGAGCTCCATTTTAACATACTTTATAATAGAAAAGTTAGACTTAATTAATCATTTATTGGTTAAATATATGGTACTTATTTAATAGCGGGTAGCGTCAAAACCTCGCTTCTTATCTAATCTCATTTCACATAACCTCCCTTATCTCATCTAACCCAAGGTGTTATTTAATTATGGATATTGTCACATTGTGGGAATTGCCGTCATCAGAAGAAGAGGCTATCAAATATTTTGAAGGCGCCGGGATATTTGAGAAGGTCTAATATTGTGATGAAGGTCATCAAATAAAGTTCGACGGGATGATTAAATGGAGATGCTATCGTAGTTGTAACAAAACCGTTTCTATTTTAAATACAAAAAACTATTTTCCCTACCAAAATAAATCAAGTTAAAATAAAATTTTTCACATTTTGTTTATATCGTTTCTTCATAGTGTTTCTTTTATATGTACATATGCTGTTTCAGTAGTTTTTTATTATTTCATCTATTTTTATTATTTAATTTATTTTGATATATATGTTGCAATGTTTTTTAATTATGTATTTATAATGTTTTGGTCCATTTTAATATATACGTTGTAAAATAAAAGTATTCTTATTATTACATTTGTTTTTGTTTTTGTTCACAATTTCAATAATATCAATACAATACAATAAATATGAATATGAAGATGATATTGTATAGATGATAGATGATAGATGATAGATGATAGATGAAGATGATAGATGATGATATTGTAATATGAATATAATACAATAAATATGAATACGAAGAGCTTATCAGTGTTAAGGTTGTGAACATTTGCAGATAGCAGTCGGATGCTACCGGCTATTAAATAAGTACCAAATATACTTATGTACTTTAAACTCTTACGAGCCATAAATAACTCAGCTGCTGGAGTTAGGTGCTTTACAAAAACAAATAGAGTTTATATAGTTTGTGACATTTTAATGGTACTATATGGCTTCTTAGATGTAAGGCTTAAGGCTTACTTCTCTTCAAAGTAAAACGGTAAGTGAAAGTTTTGTGGTGCTCGCACCAGATTTTTAATATTTAGGTTCCTTTTCTAAAAAAATAATTTATAAGACCTGCGGATTTATTGGGTGTTTTACATGGTAATCGATAGATACTCGATTTCCATAAAAATCGATTAGAGTTCACTTTGGAAATAAATGATTCAATTATTCGGTTATCATTAATAAGAGTAGGTTCCTTAATGTTAAACCTAATTAGTTTTAGGTTAACTAGTTCAATAGTTAGTTAAATTTGGACTTACCCTGAAAGGTGTTGTTCCCAGCCATTTCTCCATGTTCCTCCATGATTCAAGTTGAGGAGTTTAAACAAGCAGCATCAACTGATGAGAAATGATAATTGAATCAACCTTACAGAAAATTATACAAGTGAAAAAAAAAAAAGTTCCGATTGAAAATTGAACGTTTGACATTCAACTTCTCACGGGTATTTATCCGAAAACTTCAGACAATAGTGAGATTTTATCAATGCATTATACTTTATGATTTAAAAAAAAAATTCAGATAAAAAAAAATACGTGTTTAATAACATTGTAATCCTCTATGCAACTGAAGAGTTCACTTCTCTCGTTATTCAAAATAATTTCAATAAATTATTATAAAAAATGTTTGCTATTTTTATTTTTACAAATTATTTTACCTGAGACTTTTTATCTCATAGTTTCAACAGTAATATAATGAATGGAATAAACATTTAACGGCAAAACTAAGGAGATTTTCATTAAAATGTAGCAACTAGAAAAATTGTAAAAAAAAATTAAAATTAATATTTTTTCAAACTAAAATCATTATTTACTTAACATATGTTTTTATTCTGTTATATTTTTAGGTTGGATCTTCAGTGATTCATAATTAGTGTTTTCATAATAATAATAAATTTATTTATTGAGAAATTTTACAAATGCCTTTTGGCATATTTTGTAAATGTGATGTTCGTTAGCGAACCTCCTCTTCGGGATTAGCGTGAATGCGTGGTTGGAGAAACCTGCTCCAGAGGCGTTTGAGTCTCCTTGGTGGATTCTGTGGTAGTGTGTCTGTTAGTAATGTTTCTACAAGTGGATTAGGATGTCCAGCTAGGGAGTCATGAAAATTTTTGTAATATTTTTTAATTACATCAGTCACTTGTGGTGTTTGTAGGTCTTTATTAAGTGATTTATTGGTTATGTAGAAGGGACAATGAGTGTATACCGGAGAAACTTAGATTGAAAAACTTGAATAGTCTGTAAGTGTGTTTTTTTGCATGAACCCCACACCTGAGAGGCATACGCCCATATTGGTCTGAGTAGCATGTTGTATATAGTAATTTTGTTAGAAAGTGGTAGTTTGTTTTTATGGTGTTAGCATTCGTCAGTCGTCTGTCCATTCTGAGTCCTAGATATTTTGTCTCTGTATGGTTTGGCAAAGAGGTGTTGTAAAGTGTCAATGGAGGGCAATCCGAACGTTTAAGTGTAAATGTAACCTGATTTGATTTTTTAATGTCAATTTTTATGAGCCATTTATCAAGCCAGTATTGTAGAAGATTTAAATGAATCTGTGCTTTCTGAGATGCTGTGATCGGATTAGAGTCAGTCGAGAGTAAGACAGTGTCGTCTGCGTAAGTTGCGAGCAATGTGCCTGGTGTCTGTGGAATATCAGAAGAGTAAATTGAGTACAGAACCGGACCTAAAATACTGCCCTGCGGTACTCCCGCGCCGATTCGGCAATAGTCGGAGTATTTACCATCCTGGTTAACAATAAAAATTCTATCCTCAAGATACGATCTGATGATTAAATAGTATGTATGCGGAAAGATCGGTTTAATTTTACAAAGTAGACCATCATGCCACACTTTATCAAAGGCCTGTGGGACGTCTAAGAAAGCTGTTGTGTAAAATTCCTTCTTTTCCAATGCCACTGCAATTGTATCAATCACAGCGTTTTCATGATATTTTGGTTTATTATTTTCAATAATGAAACATTGTGATCGACCAAAAAATTCAAAAACATAACCCTCTTTCAAAATTTGAGGTTTAACGTTTCAAGACGCGTAGAATTCGAAAAACGAATAAATTATTTTTTGTCCGTCCGCCGTTCGCCGTACGCAGTCCGCCGTCCGCACATTTTCTCCGAACTACTGGACCGATTTTTTCCAAATTTTGATATAAAATCAGAGGTTACCCGAGGATGATCCTCATTCATCAACATTACTCTCCGCCTTTAACTTTCAAAATGACGGCCGAAAAATCTCCGTTGCTATAGACTGTAGCTCCTAAACGAATGTACAGATTTCAATGAAACTTCGCTAAAGTCATTTTCTCGACGCCCTTTAAATTTATCTATATATCATACTTCATCATCCATAACGACCTTAATGTTCCTTATGTTTCTGACCTGGCCCAATCCAGATACCTTTCCTTCCACAATAAACTTCAGAACCATCCTAACCCTCTCGTTTCTAACCTTGCTTCCTTTTCGATACCTGACAACCCTCCGAGGCGTCTGAAAAGAAGATGGCCTCGAGATCTCCTTTTGAAAATACATTTTTGGAGTGCTACCAGTGGGTAGTTTCTCACCAAATGATTTCATGTTATTATATTCTATTGTACACATTTACTGAATGTATTTTTACTTGTAATACAGTTGTAAATATCATTAATAAATAAATAAATAAATAAAATATCATACTTCAACGATAAGAAGCTGGAAAAAAGTTACGAGGGATGGTAAAATTAAATTCCGAATAACTCGAAACGTATACTCTTTTTACATGTTTTTTAAAAAGTTTACGAAATTTCCTAAAAAAACAAAAAAAAAATCGTTAAAATCAGACAATTAGGAGCAAAGATATGGTCTCCGGTTTTTTTTTTTTTTAACATGTTCTACTCCAAATGTTATATCCTTGGTTTGGTTTTTAAATTTTAAATGTGTTACTGAACTAATGTTATTTTTTTTAGCATATTACTAATGATTAAAGAAAAACAATTTAGTCCAATAATTGGAACCACCTTTTGTTTTTTTTTTTCTTTGTAACTCGGAAGGTGATGTTACTTTAGATGTATAATTGTTTAGAGATAATAAACCATTGTGAAATAAATTGCAGCGTTTTTTTTTTAAAGTTCCTTTTGGTCAGCTAGATTTTCCCATTGTCTTCTCAGAACGAACTCAAAAATTCAGGCTAATACATAATATTATTTGTAATGTTTATGTCTATTTTAGATGTATTATAAAAAACATATATTAAAATGTGCTCAGGTTTGGCTTTGATTGGTACAATTTGTTTCTCTTTTTTTCCTTCGTAAAATTAGAATTTCCCTAAAAAAGAAATTTTTTCACCAAAGTGGAAACCCTGTTTATAATTCTTTACGAGATATTTTTACTTTCCTACCTATACTACCGAGATACTACCATGTCTCTCACCACTACACTGAGTTAGAGTGGCTCTTCCCCTCCATTCGAAGACAATATTTCCTAGGTACATTCCTCTATCATATCATCAACAATCATCGTCCTTCCTACGCCTACAACCTTCTCCAATTCAAGTCCACTCCCTTTCCACAAGATCTCGACCTTCCGACCTTCACATTCCTCCTCACAGATCTGCCTCGTTCCAAAATTCCTTTATTGCTCGCTCTGTTAGTTTCTGGAATTCCCTTCCTATCAAAATTCGACATTCTTCATCCTTATCTACATTCAAAACCCTCCTATTCCAATTCCTGTCCCAAAACAGTCAGATACCAGCTAACGTTTTATGTAAAATTCCATATTATTTATAATAATATATTCACATATAGCTCATAACTTAAATACTTATTATAGATTCGACTTTCTTTTTTTTCAACAGAAACACAGATTTTACTGTTAAGAAGAATGTACATTTATTTTTTCTGTATTTTTTATTTTTTCTAAAAGTGTTTATTTATATTTTAACATTGTACATAGTTTTAAGTATCTTAGTATGGTTTCAAGAGTTTTTTATATAGATTTTTTAAATTTTATTTTGTATGTAGTATGTATAAAGAATATTTTTTTCTTTTTTTTTTTTACTGATTTATCTTTATCTTAACTTTTTATGTTTGTTTTTATCTGGCCAGATGTAAAATTTTAATTTCTGTACTTTTTTGTTATTCTGAAGGGACTTCGTCCTAGAATAAAAATATTTTTCTATTGCTATTTCTATACTAGGCAAGTATTGCGATCGGGTCAAATTTCCGATATGCCGTTTTCGACGGATCTATACGTTTCAGGGCCCTCTGAGTCCGAAAAACACATTTTTAGCCATTGGTCTGTCTGTCTGTACCAAGATTTTCTTTACAATTACAATCACAAGGGTTTTGACTACTGATACCTTTGCCAGAAATTCGGTGCTCCATGCGCAGTAGCTTGTGTGCAATAAATGAAAAACATGTTATTCTATAGACTGTAGCCCGAAAACGACTCAAACAATTTTGATGACACTTTCCTATAATGTTCTAATAGTTTCCTTTCAATTTCAGGGATCCAATCCTGGTATCAGAAAGAGGTGAATGAGAGAAAAAAGATAACGAAAGTAAAAAAATCTGCTGCCCGCATCACACAATCTTCACTATTTCCTCTACTTTTAACAGAAATTATTGTTTGACAAAATTAAGCTATGGCCAAAAGTTTCTGATCAGCAATTATTAGAGGGTGTTTAAATTTTTACACTGATCTACCTTAAGCCGATTTACATTGCTTTAGTTTATCAAATAAATCGTACTCAAATCTTATGTTTGATCAATTTTCAGGAAAATGTATCTAGTTCAATTATTTTTTGTTTCTTCATGAACATATGTAAAGATATAAAAACTTTTCTGAAATAGGTAGGAAAGTCGTGTGAGTGGACACACCAGATTTTTTTTATTTAAAACGTGTGATATATAAAATGAATCTTACTGTCAAATATAATTTGTAATTTACATTTTAATATTCTATGTAGAATTAATCCATAAAATAATACCATCTTATAACTAGCTCAAGCAGAGCTTTCTTCTTCCTTTCAAAGGTATTGAAATTCCGAAAAATCTCTAGAAATCTCAAATTAAAGGTGTACAATGCTATAAAATCTCACTACATATTACTTGTCTGACAAATTTTACAATAACATTCAGAATAAAGCGAAAATAAAATTTAAAAATAACTGATATGTTAACTCGCTGTGAAAAATCAAATCAGATATTTTCTCAATCAATAATATTCACCTTTTTTTTGTTGAAAAAAGAGAATTTATCTTTTTCACTATTTAAATTAAATTGTAGCCGTTTAATTTTAAAACAAAAAAAAAATGTTATTACAGTGCAAATTGAATTAATATTGATTTTTCCCCTCAATAAATATGGTCAATAAAATAGTTTGAAACGAAAATAATAATATTAAAAATTTCACATTCTGGCAATCTTTTTTTCAAACGAATGACTTAGTCCATAAAATTTCCTAAACACATTAATATGAGGAATTACATCATGTTGAAACGTCGAGACAAGATCATTCAGTAAGTAAGTACGACTGATACTCCATAAAATCACTACATATTACTTTTCGTACAAATATTAAAATAATATTCGAAATAAAAGGAAAATAAATTTTAAAATAGTTTGTTTACCTGTGGAACACCCTTCCTGGTAAGCTGTTGAGATAAAACTGCTGTGAGAAATAAGGTGGGGGGGATGTTTGAATACAATTTTCAAGTGTTGCCATTGCGTCTTCGAAGAAATTATACTTATTTTTTTACTAAAAATTTTCCTTTACATTCTTTCTTTTTTTAAAAAGTTTTTTCTTACCTTT